CCTCTGTGGGCCACAGGGTCAGAGCACTTCCCAGTCAGGCTTTAAAGTTAAAGTTGGTTCAAAGGTTTGTATTTTTTTGTGGGGGGACACCACAATCCCATTGTGTGGTTTGTTTGCTTTGAAGCAGTGCTGGTGAAACACATCTCCCTGTCCTTGTAGGCAGCTCAGGCTCCGTTCAGTGATGAGTTCTGAAAAACCAGACAAGAAGAGACAATTTGTGCACTCTGCCTATTTAAGGAATGAGAATGAACTCATTTGAAGGGTCACAGCTTCGTGCCTGTGAAACGATGTCTTTGAAGAGTCTGGAACAGGCAAGTCAAGACTAAACTGGGCACAGGTCAATTTTTCCATGTTCTTCACAGCTACGGGGAGGAAACCACCCTGTTAATGTGAAATCCTCTCTCTCTGAGGCTCTTTTTGAATGACAGAATGGAAAGGGCTGTGTCTCACTCCTGTGGCTGTAGGTCCCTGGCAGGGAAGTTGGTGTGCAGGGAGCTGGGACAGAAAATGATTCCTCAGTTCCTGCTCAAGTGCAAGTCCAAGGGTGTTTGCAGCCTCCCCTTCTTCCCTCCTTCTCAAGAGATCTCAAACCCAAGCTTTAATTTTCAGTTAACATATCAAGGGTTATCGTGATGCCTCAGCTTTCAGCTTTTAAATTTTCAGGTTCTGTGCTGCTTTAGTGTGTGGGTTTGGCTCCACATCAGGGGATGGTGAGCTCTGCACAGAGCAGGGAGACAAAACCAAGAGAAAAGCTGGACCGGTTCAGTGGTTTTGAGTTGAATTTTGGGTGCATTCCCCCACTGGGGCACCTGAACTGTGAAGGTGTCACCACCATCCCACAGGTGTGCATCCACAAGACTTCCCAGTATTTTCCAATATAACAGCAAATGGCATCTGGGAGTGGAAAATGAAAAACCCTCTTCACTTCTCCACTAGGGCAAGGAGGATTTTTGGGTCAAAGACCAGGAAATAGCAGAAGATCAAAACTGAAGAGCTGATTTTTCTGTGCTTCTCTTTTGCTCTTGGTTTGATTTCTGCTCTCTTGGATGTCAGGAGAGAATATTCCTTGAAAAACCATGTGCCAGTAGGATGCTTCCATGGAAGATCTGCTGTGCAGGTACACACAGCTGGCTCAGATTTTTCCACCATGAAATATTTAATTAGTCCAAGTTTTAGTGATGCTTTCTGAGCTGATTCAATTTCTAGTCCTACTTTTTGGGAAATAATTGTAACATATTTGAGTAAAGGTTGGAAATCCCATCAAACTCAGAGCTCCTGCCCTGGATTTAAGGGGCTGAGGTGTGCTTGGGAAGCTCATTAAAAACAACTTCTGAACTTCCAGATCAAAACCTTGAGCTCATGGAAAGTGACCTGAGTGATTTTCATGTAGTTCACTTCAAATACACCAAATATCACCAAAATAACTCCTCAGTGGGGAACAGCTTTATGTTGGGAGTGGATTTTCTCTCTTAATGCCTGTAACTCCAGGAGGTTTGGTCTGTGACATATTACACAATTCCCGTCTCCTGGCCTCTGCTCTTTCTCCTTCTTGGGAAAAGATTTTTGCTAATTTGGCCTTAAAATTTTTTGTGAAATCTCTGAGTTTTCTAAATTCATACAAAGTGCTGAAGTGCCACAGGAGGAGATTAACAGGGAGAATGTCACAGGAAGGTATTTCACAATGTGGGGAGGGCAAATGGATTGCAACTTGCAAGCTCTGGTTGTTATTGCAGGGTTTGCTCATGTTTGTTTATACACTTTTAATTCCGTGCTAATTCCTTTAATTCTCTTTCCAGCTGAGGATATTTGAGTCTTGTAAGTATTGATGGGAAAGTACAGTCATTCCCATTCTCCAGAAGAGAAACTGAAATAGCTTTGAAAATGGAGATCTCCAAATTATCCACGTTCGACGTGAAATGAAAGCAAAATAAACTTTTATTCTAATTTCACTCAAATACTGCTTTTTAACACCAAACTCCTCTTCTCATCTCACCTTCTGGATGATTACTGCTCTCCAAGATGACAGCAGCAGTGGATGAAAACTCAAATTCCAGCAGCCCAGGAGTCCTGCAGCTGGCCATGCCCTGAGATATCCACCTCAGCCATAACCATTGCCACACTCTGAGGGAGCCTCTAAAGCAGCGGTTCAAGAAAATGAAAAGGTTTCTTGACTTAAATCAAGCAAAGTTTGTTTAAAAAAATAAAAACTGGACCATCTTTTTGGTGAAAAAACATTTATTATCTTCTTCAGATGAGCAAGCAATGCTCCATGCACTGCATCCTCTAGAGAGGAGCTTGCCTGGGACAATCAGGGAGAAAATGGTGAGAGCAGAGCAAGAAATCGAGGTGCAGGACAAGATGCCCTGACAGCCAGCTTGGAATTACTCAGGACTTGGCAGGTTTTGCATTTTTTTCTGGAAATTAGAGTCACTTGCTGGGGTGTTACAGTTTCTTGTCTCTTTTAGGAATATTTCCCTGCCTGAGCAGGGAGGGCAGGTGAAGGGTTTGTGCAATAGTCACCGTCCCAGGCTGGATATTTCTCTTTGAACAGGAGGCTGGAAGATTTTGTATTTATTTATTTTTAAAAGCAGCAGCATTTAGAGATCCCTGGAAGTGTCTCAGGCCAGTTTGGAAGGGTTAATGGAAGTTGTCCCTGAACCTAATGAAATTTAATAACTAATGTTGGATGGGTGTGAATATAGAGGAGGCTGGAGTGGTGAAATGGTGAGGTTGCTTTTGACCAACACGAGGTATTTTGAAAGAATGAGGGCAGAAAGGTGAGAAAGTCTGCCTCCCTTCCCTCAGATTACAAAATAATGAACAGATCCTCACTGGGGGATTTGCCATATAAATAATTAGGAGCTGTGTCATTAAGATCTTTTCTTGGGAAAGATGAACACCCTTAGAAAATGATTTTTTTCCCTCAACCTCCATTCCCCCTGCAATGCTGGTACAAGAAGGGCAGACACAAGGACTGCACTCCACAATAAATCCCAAATATTGGGAATGTCAGAGCACTGCCACCTCCTTTACTGTGCTGCCACAACTGAAACAGGACAAAGCTGTGTGGCTTTTGCTCAAAGTGATCCCCTTCGTCCACTTTAAAGTTGAAAGTGAACCACTTGATCCCCATTTCCAGTGACCTGGAATTCACAAACCGTGTTGGTGTGTGGGGGTTCCACGATCACCAAGGCCTGAGGAAGCTCTGTGGAGCTACAGGGAAAGGGGACAAGAGTTTGGGAACTCCAAAGGTCTGGCAGCAGAAGCACGGGAATGTTCTTCCCACCGAGCTGGGCTCCAGCAAGGCAGGAGAAAATTGCAAATAACCCAAGAGGAGCCGTGAGAGGAGGGCAGGGCGTGGAAGGGATCCCAGCAAGGGGAAGCCAAACAGCACAGAGCAAGAAGGAGCAAGTCCTTTATGCAACTGGGAGAGGAGTGAGGGCACTGGGTTCAGCGGGTTCCTCTCGCTCCTCGCTGCACTCGTGAGCTGTTTTCACTTTTATTTACATAAGAGAGGTCTGCAGTGAGTTACTCTTGGCAAGGCTCACCCCACAGAGCTTGCCCGAGCGTGTGGGAGAAGAAAAGATTGCTTTTCAAAGCCTTGGAGTCATCGAATTCTTGTGAAATCCACTCCTTTTCTCTTGAGGGAAATTGCTGTGGCTGCGCAGTGAATGCAGCCAGGGAAATATCCAGGGCTCAGGCTGTGTCCTCTCCTAGCAGGATCCTTCGGGAGGAGCAGGGCAATGGCCAGAGGGATGAGGGTTTGCTTTCTGAGGAAAAGAGAGGCTTAGAGCTGGGATTATGTTTTTGTAGAAGTTAATAATAATGTGGTTCTCTGGGGAGAAATTTGGGGATGAACTTCTCGCCTCAGCGGGAAACAAGGCGCTGTGATGATGGTGATGCACCAAAATAAAATGTAACATCAGCCTGAGGGCCACCCAAAATATCTTTTATTATTCTGTCTTTCCTACTGGTTTGGAACAGGAGTTTTGAAATGAACAGCTATTTGGAACTGAAAAAAAACAACCAAACAAAAATCATTTTATTTCAGGCAATATTATAGAAGTAAGTATCCTGTCCCATCCCTTTATCCCATCCCATCCTGTAATTACATCCTGCTATCCCATCCTATTATTCCATCTCATTACCCCATCCCATCCCATGACATATCCCACCCCAAGGATCCCATCCCATGGATCTCATCCCATGGATCCCATCCCATCATCCCAATATCCCATCCCAAAATCCCATCCCCATATCTGATCCTACTGATGGATCCCATCCCATTATCCCATCCCAGCCCATTATCCCATCCCAATACCCCATTCCACGGATCCCATCCCAATACTCCATCCCATCCCAATATCCCAGCCCATTATCCCATCCCATGGATCCCATCCCATTATCCCAATATCCCATTATCCCAATATCCCTATATTCCACTATCCCATTATCCCACCCCATGGATCCCAATATCCCACTATTCCACCCCATAGATCCCACTATCACATTATCCCACTCTCCCACTATCCCATTATCCCATGGATCCCCCTCTCCCACTATCCCATCCTCCCATTATCCCACTCTCCCACTATCCCGATATCCCATTATCTCACGGATCCCCCTCTCCCATTATCCCACTATCCCCATATCCCACTATCCCCATATCCCCATATCCCACTATCCCCATATCCCACTATCCCCCTCTCCCACTATCCCCCTCTCCCACTATCCCACTATCCCCCTCTCCCACTATCCCCCTCTCCCACTATCCCACTATCCCCCTCTCCCCCTATCCCCCTATCCCCCTATCCACTATCCCCCTCTCCCACTATCCCACTATCCCCCTCTCCCACTATCCCCCTATCCCCATATCCCACTATCCCCCTCTCCCCTCTCCCATCGATCCCATCCATTCCCGTCTCATGGCGCCCCCTGGCGGACCAGCGCCCAGCCGCTCCCGCCCCTCCCGCCGGGCCGTACCAAGCTCCGCGGGGGTGCCTTCGGAGCCATTCCGTGCCCTGAGGCCGCTCGGGGCATCCCACCACGCTGCGAGCGGTGCGACTAGAGATAATCCCCGATTTTCACAGGGCTCCGGCCTTTTCCTGCAGTTTTTCCTCCTCTTTCTTCTTTTCCCATGCCCGCTGCTCCTCCTCTGCGCGGAGGGCGGATGCTCCAGCACCAACATGGCCGCCACCATGAAGAAGGCGGTGAGTGGGGAGCGGGCCTGGCGAGGTTCACTCTTTTGGAGCGGGATTGGGTCCCTTCCCGGCGGAGTTCGATCCCTCCCCGAGGCGCTTTCAGCTCCTCCACTTCCCTCCGGGCCGCTGTGTCCCGCTGCCTCCCGCAGCCCCGGGCGCGGCCGGGTGAAGCCCTGCCCGGAGCGGCGCGGCCGCCGTCGGGCAGCTGAGGGGGCTGGCACCGGGCTGGGGCACCGAGCTGGGGCACCGGGCTGTGGGAGCGGGCTGGGGCACCGGGCTGGGGCACCGGGCTCCGGGATTGGGCTGGGGATCGGGCTGTGGCCCCGCGCTCTGGCCCCGCGCTTGTCCCGCGGGGTCGGTGGCCCCGCGGAGCCTGGGCTGGTGCGGCTCCTTCTAAACAACAAGGGCAGGGGCAGGGTGGATGTGAGGAGAAATCTATTCTCTGTGAGGGTGGTTAATTATGGAGTCGTCATCATCGTGGCTTGGGTTGGAAAAGAGCATAAAATTCATCTCGTTCCATCACCCCCACCCTGCCATGGCAGGGACACCTCCCAGTGTCCCAGGCTGCTCCAAACCCCGTCCAGCCTGGCCTTGGCACTGCCAGGGAGCCAGGGCAGCCACAGCTGCTCTGGGCACCTGTGCCAGGGCCTGCCCACCCTCACAGAGAACAATTCCTGCCCAATATCCCATCCAACCCTCCTCTCGGTCAGTTTGAAGCCATGCTGCTTTGCCTGTCACTAACTGCTCCTGTTCATGGTCTCTCTGCAGAGAAAACTCAGAGCAGAGTGTCCAGTTCAGCCTTCAGCATCAAGGAAACCTTTCTTTTAGTATGCTGTGGCTGGCCAGAGTTTTAATTAGATGTACCCAGCTAAATGTGGGCATTTCTGGTGTCCTCAAAGAGGCACTGGGAGCAGCCAGGTGCATGAGCAGAGTGTGGTGGCTCTCAGATCGTTTTCCATCGCTTTGTAGGAGTATCCTTGCAGGGAGACTCAGGTTAATGTAAGAACTGAAATCATCATTTTGACCTCTCCTCCCCGCAGGCTGCAGAAGATGTCAATGTCACCTTTGAAGATCAACAGAAAATTAACAAGTTTGCAAGAAACACCAGCAGGATCACAGAGCTGAAGGAAGAAATAGAAGTGAAAAAGGTATATTTGCTTCAGATCTCATGAGCTTTTCACTGGATTTTCAGCTGGAACATAGGAAATTAACAGCAGTGAGTTACTGTGAGTTTAAGTAATGCTTGGGTTCTGATATGAGGTTTCTGATACTCTGGAAATAGAGAATGGTAAAATATCAGATTAATTAATAAGTGTCACTAATATCAGATATTAGTGATATTTAAACCTGCTGTATTGCCCTTGCCTGGACAGTTAATTACTGTGTTAATGACAGATAATGAGTGCTGACTGGGAGTTTCTGCTGGATTGAGTTGCTGAATTCCAGCTGTGAACTGATCTCTGGGGTGTGCTGGTTCTGGGTGGGATTTGTTCCCAAAATCCAGCCTCTCTGGGTTCCTTGCCCAGCTGTGGCCGTGTGCCCGTGGCAGGGCTGTGCCCGTGGCAGGGCTGTGCCCAGGGAGCCTCTCTGTGTGTCCTGGCCCACAGAAGCAGCTGCAGAACCTGGAGGATGCCTGTGATGACATCATGCTGCTGGATGATGCTGACACCCACCTGATTCCCTACCAGATTGGGGATGTCTTCATCAGTCACTCCCTGGAGGAGACTCAGGAGATGCTGGAGGAGGCCAAGGTTGGTCTGGAGCTGCTGGGCTGTGCTGGGCGCTGGGGTGGGGTCTGCAGCCTCTGGAGCTCTCACGGGCTGAAGTCCATGTTGGATTTGGGATTTGAGTCACTCCAGAGGCACTCCAGCAACAACTCCTGCAGCCAGAGCTGGGCATGAGTTGGAAAAGAGGCAGCTCTCTGTTGGTTCTGTGTGCTCAGTTTGTTGTGCAGAACTGATTTTTGTTTATTTTTCCCTTTTCAGAGGAGTTTACAGGAGGAAATTGAAGCGCTGGAGTCGCGAGTGGAGTCCATCCAGAGCGTGTTGTCTGACCTCAAAGTTCAGCTCTATGCAAAGTTTGGAAACAACATCAATCTGGAGGCTGAGGACAGTTAAAGCTCTTCTAAACACAACACCCAATTTTTCCTTAGGTTATTAAATGTTTTGATAACATTACTGCAATTATATTTGAGAACAGAAAATCCATCCCTTTCCTTTTGTTGTTTTTTTTTACTTCCCTGTAAAGTTCTGTATATTTAATAAGAACTTTCTTATTTTGGTTATTGCAGCTATTTATTTATTCAGGAAAACACTGACTTCACATTGCTGGTAAAGCATCAAGATTGGAATATCTGCATTGTTTATTAAGGCAATAAAGCCAGGCATGTATTGGACTTCCCTGGGTTTTGTTTTCCACTCATAAAAAGGCTTAAAACAAATGGAAGGAGGGAATTTTGGAGTGGCTGTTGGATAAAAGCTGTGGGATACAGGGGACACGAGGGAGTGATGCTCTTCAGGTGTTCCTAAGAGCCCTCCTGGAGCTCCTAAGTTCTCTGTGTTTCACCCTCAGCTCAGGAGTCAGGAATTTGCCTGGGCTCTTTAAAGCTCACTTTGGTCGTGAGGAAAAGCTTTTGGAGCCCCCATATTCACTCATTTACTGCTTTGTATTTGGGAATCCCAAAAACTGCTGCAAGTCACAATTCTGAGTCTTGATTTCTAATTTTCCTGAAGAGTTCCTAAATCCATATTCATGTCACAGTTGTTCATAGGTTTTGTTGCAGTGTCAGCATCAATTCCTGATCTGTGCCTCCATCACTAGGAAGGGTTAAATGTAATTTTTAAATGTCTTAATTTGTCTTTACAACCAAAGAAAACACAAAAGAGTGGTGTTTTTGCCAGGTGAAAACTGCTGGAGTTTGACCCATAACGAGGAGCACCCAGCAGATGGCATCAGAGATCTGGGAATGCCAGTTTTGGCTGGCAGTGCCAGGCTGGCAGTGCCACTGGTGCCTGCAGTGAAGAAGCTCTGGCTGCAGGGCTTGCATTGGATGGTGGCAGTTCCAGAGTCACTGCTGTGCTGAGCATTTCACACCCTGCAGGGAAAATGAAAGATCTTGGAATGGTTTGGGTTGGAAGGGACCTTGAAGATGATTTTATGATTTTATTTCTGACCCTCCTGCCACGGCAGGGTGTGGAGAGCTTGCTGCTCTTTGATCCTAAAATTGGGATTGGCCATAAACACAGTGCTGTGCTCAGGGGAGATTGTTCAGTGCCACAGATCTGATTTTCCCCTTGTTTTCTCTCCCTTTTGGGTTTTATGGGTGTGATGCATTTTTCCTGTTGGCTTAGTCCTTGCTACAGAAATGGGAGGGCTCTTTTGCACCTGGGCTGTCCAATTTCCTTGTGTGCTCTGGTCATTTGTGTTTGCAAATCATTACATCCCAACGTTTTTCAGCTCAGCCTCTGAATTTCTGTATTTGCAGAGCTCCTGTGCCAAGCCATCATTTGGTATTTTTATATGTGTAAAGCAGAACATGCAGGAAACACTTTTCTTATTCTGGAGTTGTCATTGTGGAAGTGACTTTGCAGATGGTGCATCAGCTGCTTGGAAGTATTTGACAGCATCCTATTTTGCTTTTTAATAACCTTTCTGTCATGAAGATCTGCAATTGTTTCTGAGTTGGCACTTTGTTCAGCACCCCATGTTCTGAGGACTTCTTCTTTTTGGCAGATTGGAGTCTGTGATCTCTAATAATGATGTTTCCTTTACCTGAACAAGAGAACTGTGGTAGAAGCCCATGAACCAAACCCTGGTGCTCTCTTCACCCCTGAACACCTCATGAGTCATTCAGCTGCACTTGGCAATACAAATGTGGAAATGTCAGAATGCCAAGAGTTCATTGTCCTCTGTGTTGGCAAGGGAGGGACATTTGTGGGCACCTGGGGGATGAAATGTGTCACAAAGTGCTGTTCTTTCATCTCAGGGCTTTTGGAGCACTGGGCTGAGGATCCCTTACTCATGGAATCACCTTTTCAGCTTTATTTTGTTTTAAAACACAATTTTAATACAGGTTTTGTTTTGCAAGTCACAGAGTCACCCGTGGCTGGGTTTTCACTTGGCTGCAGCAATTCAAGCAGTAAAATACAGGTGAAATTCAGCTCAGTTTGGTGCCTGCTGTCAAGGAGCTCCCAGATTTTTAAAGTTTGGTAAAAACTCTGCCAAGCACAGTGGGATCAGTTCCTGCACTGAAGGCTGGTTTGTGATTCTGCACCTCTGATACAAAAATGTTTCCCACAGCATGATCTCCAGTGGAACCTTTATTAATCCCCATTTTTTACAGTAGATCTGGGCTCCCTTTACACTCCACCATATAAATGTGGTGGATAATTATTCAGTAATTACAGGAAATGGTGTGTATCTGAAGCACTGATAATTTTGTGGTAATAAAATCACATCCAAGGGCAAAAAGAGACTGAATTCTGAATACTGAATCCACATTTCTGTAGGAACAACAGAACTGAGCAGTTTGGTTTGCATGAGTCAGTGGTTCAGATAATTTCTCTAATGTTATTCTAATAGCCTGATTCATGAGAGAGAAGAAAATATGAATATATATATAGGCATAACAAGGCCTGGCAGAAATTATTTACAACCAACTTTGTCTTTATTTAGATTGTGTGAGTCACGCAGAAAACCAAATTATTTTCTAATTAAACTCTGGCTGCTGGGGGGGCTGCACAGAACACCAAACACAGCCAGGGAGGATTCCCCCAGCATTAAGAGGAATTTCATCCAGATGATAAAAGGTGGAATAAAAAATTATAAACGTGAGGAGAACATCAGGATGTGCTCAGTGCTGGACTCCAAGCTAAGCCAGGGCTGCTCCCAGCCATTCCTTAAGGGAAAATTCCTGTTGGATTTCACAGCCCAGCAAAGGGAGGAAAAACCTTGTTCAGTGGAGTTTTAGAGTGTGCCAAGTTTTACCCTTCAAGCACAGTCCAGAATTCCATCAAATCATCAAATTTGGGGGCTTTTCCTGCCTTTTCTGTAACAATCAGGGTTGTGCACACCAGGCTTACAACACACAGCTTTGGGGGTTTAAAATTCTGTTTAGAGTTTAAATTTGTGCTGTCTCTTGGGTATCTGGGATTTGTCTGAATTTAACCAAACTCCTGTGTAAAGCCTGGCCTTTGACCAACAACCTGCAGCACACAAAATATATTTATTTACAAGATAAAACTGGCTGCCTTTGGGTACAGTCAACTCAGAGGAAAATCATTAATCCCAACACACATGGCCAAGCACTGCTGGTAGCTCCAGCACTCCTTTTTATTAACACTTGGGGGGAAAATCATCAAACATTCAGTTCCATTGCTGCTGTGAAAGCACTTTCCCCTCCCGTTTTTAATCCTGCTGTTAAAAGTTCAGCCAGAAGAGCTTTGGTTTGCTTCCGAAAACGTCTCCCAGCAGCAATGTTGAACATATCAGGGATCAAACAGCCTCTGGGAAGGTTTAAAACTAAAGCTTGTCTCTGTTTGTAGGGTCTGTTATGTGTTCTGGTTATGTGTGTGCTACCCAAAACAAATCATTGTGCTCATTGCAGCTCCTGAGGAGTCGGGGGTCAGTTGGAGATGTTCAGGATGGCATTTATAGGAGTTGACTTTTGCTTTGTAGAAAATGCTGCTGCAACACAATGTGCAGTTAAATCTAAATATGAAAAATTACTGTTTTAAAATCTAAATATTAAAAATATCTATTTTTATCTAAAGGAACAAAATGGACTTCACTGTAGAAGAATTTTGGTCCCAATGACATTTTTATTGCAGTCACAATACTTGATTTTAGACAAGTGGTAAAATCAACTACAGAATTAATTTTACTCCTCAATTTATTTGTTAATTTGACAGATCTACAGTTGAAGATGTACTTCTAAATATCTAAGTGCAAGTTTGCATTTCCATCTACTGACTGAAAGCCCCAAAGATGGCACACAAGGTTTTTATCTGGGTTTTTCTGTCACACCAGGGCTGCACGAGCGGGAATGCACACGGAGCCCTGGCTGCCTGATTTATCTCAGCTCTGAGCCCAGATTGATTGAGGAAATGTCAATAGAGTGAGAGAGAAGGGCTGGGCTGGATCAGGGCTCTGCATGCAGCTCTGAGCAGCTCCCACACCCAGATCAAACCTCCATCCCTAATCCAAGCCAAGCAAACAGTTAAAGCTATAAAATATTTCTAAATGAAATAAAACCACCACAGGCTCCTCTGGGCAACCTCCTCACCCTGAGAGGGAGGAATTTCTTCCCAATATCCCATCTCAACCTCCTCTCTGTCAGTCTGTTCCATTGATTTGCTGATAAGTGCCCCACCAAAACAGGAACATACACACACAAAAAACCACGAAGCTGCTGCTGAGCTGGGTTTGAGAGGCTTGGGCTCGTGATAAACCTGGGAGAGGAGGCCTTTATCCCTGTCATTTTGTACCCCAGCCTGTCATTACTCATCTGAGCTCCCAGCAAATGTTAGCCAGGGAAATCTCTGCTCTTTGGAAATGCATTATTGGAGACTGTTCTCGTGGACAAAGAGCTGTCAAATATCATTAGCACAGCCTGTCCATCTTTCATGGGGTTTTTTTAAGATATAAAGCCTGGAGCAATATGGTATCAGTCTGTAGATTTAATTGAAGGTTGCAAAGTAGATGCTTTATCTGATTTATCAGGAAGGTACAGGTTTGCTACTGATAATTCATAGGGCTCAGGAGAGATTTCATCTGCTCATCACCCAGTGCACTGGAGAGGAAGAAGTTTTCCTTCCAATCATTGTAAGGCACCTCAGGATTCCTGGGAGCTGCAACCAGGAGGATCATTCCAGCATTCTCTGGGCTGCTGTGTGTGCAGGACAAATTTGAATTTCCAATTCTGATGGCATTTGGTGAACTGGAAGAGGGAAATGTCAGCAGGGCAGGGGCAGGAAAATCCTCAAGGGAAAGGAGAAAGGAGCACAGCCTCGGGCAGGCTGGCACTGCTGTCAGCAGAGCTGGGAATTCCCACCAGGAATTGCTGGGGTTGCTGTGGTTGGGCTGAGCAGCAACACGAGGCTGATAGCAAAGCAAAGCTGAGACCCCACAGGGCAGAGTTCAGGGTTCCCGGGGCTCCCAGGAAAGGCAGGAATGCTGCTCCCACCTGGGGATGCAGCACAGCCAGCCCTGCGGCTGGTTCAGAGGTGCTCATCTCTGTAATGCCAGACTGCAGAGAAAAGGTCAAACCCACCCTCATTTATCACTCCAGTTCTCCCCTGCAGCATCAATTTGGGCTTGGTGGCAGCTAAACCAGAGGAGGAATTGATTTTCTGGGGGTAGAGTGCAGAATTTAGCTGGATACAAAAGCAAACCCAT